TCTTGATGAAAAGAGTCTACAAACAAGGACTTGATTCCCACGCTTGAGATATTTATAGTTGTGATGAGATCCCTCTTTGACTTCTCTTATCCAAACTGAAGAATCCCAGTTGTCTCAGCCTTTCTTCATACAGGAGATGCTTCAGATGCCTAATCAACTTTGTGGCTCATCACTGGACTTTTTTTAAGAGATCCTTGTCTTTCTTGAACTGGGGAGCCTAGAACTGACCCAGTAGTCTAAATGTGGCATCACCAGGGCAGAGCAGAGGGTGAGAGTCACCCCCCTCACTTTGCTGACCATGCAGAACAACTTATAATTTAACAGCTGCATTTTTTATATTGAACTCTAGTCTCTTTGTCACACACACATCTATATACATTTTTTTAATAGTGTTTTTTAGATAAGATGTCACTAGTGGATATTGCTGCACACTTTATACAGAGTATTATTCCATATCCTTAAAATACTTCTTAAATATCCAACAATATTTTGACTACTGTAACATTATAGATCCTTGACATATTTTTCTAATGTCAAAATTTAATTTACAAGTTGTTTTCCTTATAGTTTTTAAGAAAACAAAACAAACATTTTAAAATGCCTAAAAACATTTATTTGATTTTTGAAAGGAAACAAGAAAAGAAAACTAATTAAGGAGCATAAGTCATACAACGCTTTATTTGTTTAGGTAGGCAGTGAAAGTTATGTGATAGGGTGGAGGCAGGATTTCCTAGCCATCAAAGTTTTTTCCCATATAATTATGAGCCCCTATCAACGTTTTGTGCGCACTTTTCTTTTCCTATGTGCAAACACCTGGCAAAGTTGATAGTACTCTTTCTGCATTCTAAAATCCTGTAGTGGTTACAGCTAAACAAGTGACTTTTGGATTTACTGCGAAGAACTAGCTAGTTTGAAGGGAGTTTTTTGCCTGTGTTTAGACACATTTGTAGATGGATCACAGCAGAGCAGAAAACTGCTTGTGTGCAAAGATGGGGTTACATCAGATAGAAGAGTTCCGGAAATGATAAATTTTAGGCAGGACAGGAGGAGGAGTTTTGAAAGCTTGTCCTCTGGCATGGAATGAGCAGAGGGAAAAATCAATTTTGGTGATGGTAAAATGAGTCAACACTAACAATATAATTGGCTTACTTAGTCTCATGGCCTTTCAAAGCAAAAAGGCAAATTATCTAATTAACTAAATTAGCTCTGCTAAATTCAGAGGAAGACTGAACCCCTAAAATATTGATGGAGATAACTGGTCATTAATCTGATTTACAAATTCATTTCTGTTGAACAAATAAATAAGAAGGGTGCATTTTGTTGTGTTTTGAAGTCTAACTTGATTTTTAGGAAGAAAAATTTAACACTTCTTAAAATAGCTAAGGGCCTTTATGCATACATTCTCTCTACTATATTTATGAACATTTTCTGAAATTATACCATCATGTGTGTATATATATGTACAGATACAACATATATATTTTTTATGTAAGTTACTAACTTTACTGTTAGTATTTTTGTATCCTGTAGCTTTTTGTAGGCTAGACAGTATCTAATAAATAGAAGTTAACCACAGCAAGGTAAATTCAATTCAGTTTCACTAGATGTTTTCTGTTATACTAGGATTTTTCATGTGAATTGCTACCAAGTAGTTGATGGTAAAATTTGTTTTCCCTGGATTCTTTAATTTCGCAAGTGTAGAAAACAAGATTGATATTCCATCAAAAACATCAAAATTCATTGGGTATTTGTGGCATAATTAACCACAATTATCTATACACAGTACACAATGTGTAATAATATATGTAATGTCATATTTAAAAGATTTCTATACATTTTGCTTTCATTCTCAAATATAGATAAGATTTACACTGCTCTTACGTGATTTGTTAGATTTTAAACTACTTTGTCTTCTGTTATTTTGTCTTATGTTCTGTACATCTTCTCATACTTGAAAAAAAGAAATTTTAATAATCGGTATTGCTGTAGAATATTTTTGTATCATTGGAACCTATCAACTGCATTTCAGTGGCATATGGTCTATTTCCAAGTTACATAGCAGTTTAACTGCTATGCAAATCTATGTATGATTAACACATACACAGTGTCTTTCCTTTGTCTTCCTAGGATAGCATAAATAATTTATTGAAGGCTAAATATTTTTCTGGGTATTTTTTGCCATCTTTGCCCCTTAGTGTAATATTGAAGCTACTCTGGTCACTTCATGGCACTTGGAAGAGTTAAAATAATAAGGGTTTTGAGGATTTTATATTTTAAGGCTTTGTTTCTAAATGAGGCAGTTCACAATAATACTGCATTTGTTAACTAACTTGACTAAACATAATTATTAGGAAAACCTAAGTTTTGACAACAAAATGGGCTGAGATCTGATTTCATTTCCTTTGTATTCAGGTAGACCTTTACCCTCAGGAACCGAGCTGTGGGTTTTTACTTCTGTGAGTAGAAGGAAACAGGATGTCGTATACTCCTGTCCATTAGTGCTTGAAGGGAGCTCATCTGCAAATTGTTCAGTCTAAAATTTTGATTCCTCTTGCAAGACATTTGAAGATGGAAAAAATGTTGTATAGTGCTTGTCTTCCTTTCATTGCTTCCGGAGTGCCTTCATTAGCAACCCTGTAAAATCCTGTGCTTTATCAGATTTCATTTATCACCATTAAGGATGACCCCATCATGTTTGCCCATTGTCCGCTTGCTCATATATTACCTCATAGCTGTCAAACAAGTAATAGGTGGAGGTCCATTGGGCTGGTACTTCCTGTTCACTTTCAGATGTACTGATAAAAAGGTTACTTGGATGTCCCTAAGGGCTTGAGGGGCTGTCAAGCTAAGGTTGAAGGGTTGGTCTTTCTCCCTCTCAGTATTTTAAAGACGCGTACGCACATCTCAATATCAGGTGTGTGGAAGCAGAAATCCCGAATCTAAAAATACAAGCTTGTATTAATATGTAGTTTCATCATGAATTTCTTGCTCATCCTTGTCTTAACAATGAAAATGACTAGTGATTTCATGTAGTGTTTATGAAATGTATGAAGAGCTGCAATGCAAGAAAAGTTGCTGACTTACAATATCTTATTTAAAAATTTCTACTTTTCTCCTGCACACCCTCATGAATGAGAAAAAAAAAAAAAAAAAAAAAAAAATGAGCACAACTTATTTTATGTTACCAGATTTTTCCTTGATAATAATAGGAAAAATACATGATAATAATAAGAAAAATACACTGACTTAGCTCATGTCATCCATTTAAAAGCTTCATATTCAGAAAATGCTGTGCCGGTTTTGATGTCAAAATTGAATCTAGTTAGCATACCTCTCCTTTTAACAAGCTTGCACTGCAGCAGCAAATCATTTCAAAATAATCCTGGCTCTAAAATATTTTACTGAAACTTGGCAGCTCTCTCTGGCTATTGTGATTCTTGAATTGAGCAGCTCAATCCCTAGTAGGGTATTAATTAACTTAATCCATGAATAAATTAGGAATTATAGGTAATAATAAATACAGTTGGCTCTGTGTATCTGTAGAGCTTGTACATTGTTTGAAAGTCTTATTCCACTAATTAGAGGGTGGAGTGTTTAGTGTTTCAATAATAAGGAAAGGAAAGGGCGTGTTTTCTTGCTTGATCAATTTCAAGGCCTATTTGGTAAGCTGAGAGTTTTATGCGCTTATTGACATGGGCTTTTATAATGGATCAACTGACTGATTAGAGTATGGGGAAATGCTAAATACATAATGCTTGTCTGGAAATTTTCTCCAAAGATATTGATCTTCCAAGGTGAAATCTGCCTTCCTCTCAAAAAGATGTATGCCAGTGACAAGAACAACCAACACATTTGGAAGAGTCCCTGATAAATTCTATATGCAGCATTAAAAGAAAGAGGTGAACTTCAGTTAACCTTTCTAACGAACATCTACAACCAGATATTTACCTTTTGGAGAAGTGCACAAACAAGAAATTTAAGAACTGCTTGGTAGACAGTGATACTTTCTGTTTACGCTTACTAGAGCAAGTCTGTACTGGAAACTCAGATTGTTTTGCTGGTGAGTCTGTCTGACTGAAAATCATTTCATGAGTAGACAAAAAGCAAATGATGACCAAGAAGACAAAGAAGGGTGGGTAAGGACAAGACAGATTGTTAGGATCATAATAGAAATGCAGTTACAATCTGAGAAAAACCATCATGGTAAAAACTGTAGCAGAAGAAACAGGAAACTGATGAACTAGATTAGAAAGAAAAGTAAGTTCATGTTTACTGAAAGAAATTAAAATTGGCATGATATGCCAACAGAAGTTATAGAATCTAGTAATTTGTGAGACAGTTGTGAGAAAGATTATGGCTTGTGATAGGGGATAAGTCTGTACTAACAAGCTCTAGCTCTTAGTAAATGCCAACAGGTGACTGATTATAAATTTATGGAGTCTTTCAATTTTTCACCAAGAGGACTCTATCTCAAAAATGTTGTATTATGAAGGTTGTGCTTCAACTTTCTGTAAATATAAGAATGATTTTCTTTTTTGGATTATTATCTTTGTTATTTAAATAATTATTTCCAGTAGTTACTGGACAAATATATGGAGCTTGCATTTCAGTTCTGGAGTACAGGCAGGCCACTGAATATTGTTTCTTAAAGAAGAGAAGAGGATAGCATTCTTCATGCATACCTACAGCTCATTAGAGAGGCTTTTGGCATCCAAATACGACAAATAATTACATACCCAAAAAGGGAAAATCAGTGCAAAGTAGAGTGTTATTAAAGTGAATCAACTTTGTCAAAGTAACTCTGTGATGACACAGCATAAAATATTTGCCTGTTTGGAAATAATTGTAAAATATTTTAAAGATTGATCTTCTTACTTGGTTAAAGTCTAACTTCAGTAAATAATATTTTAGCTCATTAAGGGTAAAGATTAAAGTCTGTGGTTCAAAGCAGATGTCAAATAGATCTGGTAGTGAGATTATTTTCTTAGTAAACGAAAGATTTTGAAATTATCTATCTGATGATGAGTGCTAAGGTAAATCTTTTCACGTCTCTTTTCCTATTCTATGAAGACAAAAACCTGATACAATTTTTTTTTTTTTTTTAGGTTTCTTTCAAGTTATTTAAAAAATGTATATTGACTTAAGAAAGTTTTTGTGAGATTAACAGCTTGCTGTGCTGTTCACAATTGTTTTTCATTGTAGTTGAAATGTCAGAAATACATGTGACTGCAAGTCTGAGCTTACCGAGTAGCAGCATTCAGTAGGATGAAACTTTTGGAAAACATCTGATTCATTGATTTGTATGGGATTAGAAGTAATGAAAAGTGATCTACAAGACTTCTAGTATCTTTCCTGTTTTTTCAGCAATAAGACTATGCAGCAAAAATTCATTTCTTTTTTATTTTTAGTAAGTAGCATGTCTTATTCTTCTTGACAGATAGGCATGTGGATATCCGGAAATAAACCTGTGGTTGTTTGTCAGAGTAGAAGGAAACAGCTGAGAACTTCTTTAAGTGTTGAATGTTTGAGATGATCTCTGTAAAAATTACAAATTAGCTCCAATCCCTTTATCTGCTAACAAATGATGAAAAAGTAGCTGCTAGGCCTATACTCCATCAAGATATGTATGGTTTCTTGGGGAAAGACTGAAAAGCAAACCTCCTTTAAATATAGCCTTTAAATATAGCTGACTTGTTGATAACTATCAGATGTTACTGAATAAGAAGACCTAATGAGAAATATAATGGAAAAAAGAATGGTGCATATTTAGAACAGACTTAAATGAATTAAATTCAATAATGGTATTTTATTTTCATTGGCCAAAATCATGTGTTCTTATGGCATTTTCCAAAGTCATTACTCTTTTTTTTTTTTTCTCAAGGCTTTGCTTTTCTTGATTATTTTTATTTTTTTCATTTTAATAATAATAGTAATAAACATGTAAATGTTTAATTTGTTATTTGGAGAAACTTAACTCTCATTTTGAAATACTATTTCCACTTTAGAAATCAATGTAAATTGAAGGAAAGTTAAGCAAAATATTTCAGGTAGATTAAAACAGACCTTTCCTCCCTGCCCCTTATAAACATAACATTTTGAGAACTGAAGCATGTTGTTATTCACCGAATTTCAACCTTAGCTGGCAGGAGCTATTGTTGATTTTGAGTGTTTTGATGTAGAAGGAAAGATTATGACGTAGTTCCATTCATTCTTATTTGAGACATCACAGGATGTGGTACAGAGACAACTACCTTTCCGTGTAAAGCCACAGCCTCAGAAATACTAAGAGCAACAGACGTAGCATCTTTTTATTTTTCAATAAATAGATTTTCTGCAGCAGATCTATGAGTGAATGCATATTACCATTACCATGGGTTGTCATTAGTATTTCTGAAGTTTTGTTTTGTTTTATTTCCTTTTCAGCTAGAGCAGTTGCCTTCCTTTGCATTTGGCTGATTACAAGTCCTGGACTAAGGCCATCTGGCTTGGTTGCAATCTAGATAAGGTTGGCAAGGAAGAATCTTCTGAGCAAATGTCAAAATCTGTAGCTGCTCCCTCAGTCAATAACGCCTGCCTGCAAGCTGTCAAACTGGCTTACAGTGGTTTAAAAATTTTTGCTGTCATCATTTTCCTCTTACTTGAGATTTTTCTTTTTAATACGTGAGGACTTTTACTTCCTCGTTAATATGTTTCTGAAAGGGAGATTTAAACCTTAGGTCAGTTCTCTGATGGCTTTCTGTGGGTAACGTACCTCTAAAAAGAGACTAGACTGATCTTACTTTGAACAAAGGAAGATGACATTGAAGAGAACAAGTAGTTATCTTATTCATCAGCATAAAGACAACGAGAAAGTTTGTGCTGGTTTATGAAGCTATTTTTGGCATAGAAGAGTTGCTGATAGAGTCTTTAGAGCATAAGATACAAGTTCAGAGTAGGAAAAAAAGAGATTTTCTGGGGAATCTATGAAGAACCCAAATTAGTAGTGTGAAATACAATTGGAATCTTCAGTTGGTGTTACTTGTGGGAATAGAGAGCTACAGATATCCTGAGCTTCAGCATTCAGTGCAATAACATTGCTGTTACTTCAAGGGCAAACAAGAAACATTTAGTTTCTGTTTATGAATGCGACACCAGTTTCTGCTTATCTAAAAAGCAGGTTTGAATTGCAGGTTTTCTGAAAGGGCTTGACGTGTTTTTGCTTAGAGTGGGAAGTGATGGATTAGCTAGATTTGTCTGTAATGTTCTAACTTAAACTTGACTTAAAATGTGAAAAATTAAGATAAAAGCCTCATTCTTCTCACCTTCACTCACAGGTAGGATTACATTGTTCTACATCAGCAGTGGCAAGGCTGTGAATGACTTACAGCGTAACTGTCCTCAAGTTGACTGCTCTGCTACACTAATCTGATGTTAATCTTTATTCTATTACACAGTGATAATAACTGTCTCAAAGCTGGCTTCACTAACACGCCCCTGAAAATATTCACATTCTATGGCAAAAAAAAAAAAATTAAATATAGACAAGATATTCACATTTTGTTGGTATAAAAGCAAAATCCTGCAAAAGCTTCATCTTTTCTCTGCATTGCACAATCTCAATTTTAATGCCTAATGACACATTTGACTAATCAACTTTCTGTTCTCTTTTTGCATTTATACAAGTAAATCTTTCTCTACATCACAACAATGAGTTATTTCTGAGTTATTTAGATAAGTATTTATAAATAGGATAGCTAGAAGGAGCCTTCAAAAACCATCTTGTCTAAGATGGCCCCTTCAGGACTAGCCAAAAATTAAAGCATATTATTAAGGCATTATCCAAAGGCCTCTCGAACACTGGCAGGCACAAGGTATCAACAACCTCACTACAAATCCTATTCCAGTGTTTGACCATACTCATAATCAAGAATTTTTTCCTGATGTCCAGCCTGAATCTTTCCTGGTACGGCTCTTCAATTCTTTTACAACCCGAGGACATATTGACTTTATCAGAATCTTAACGAACCATGAGAGAAAACTAGGATTTTGTCAAAGATAAATAAAGAATGAGTCATTCATTTCATACCATCCTTTAGGGAATTAACTCAAGGTCTTGGGAAGAAGGCTGAATCTGAGGCATTTCTTAGGAATCAACTTAGTTTTCATTCTTGTTTGTAGTAGTATTTTTTTTTTTTTTCATTGATTGATTTTGTTGCTTGTGGTTATGGTAGTGCTCCTTGGTTAATATTAGCTTTTGTGTGCTTGATTTAATCATTATCCATGTAGTACATGATTGTCATATTGCTTTTTATATTGCATTTTTTAAAAACCTTGTTTTTCTATGAAACTCTAATCAGCCCTAGAGAAACTTTTCACAACATTGTTTACATGCCTGGAATGCCAAATACACATTCCACTGATAAATTTTGTTTTATTCCCAAATTCATACTTAGCTTCTTTACATGATAACGATCATGATGTGAGTGTAAAAAAAATCTTTAAACAAGCACTTAACAAGTGATGATCCAGATTTTACCAATGCAGTCAGCCAGTTTGGGTAAAAACAAAAAGCAAAAACACATCTTCAGAGGAAGAGCATAAGTTGTATTGTAAGGGCAGAGAAACAATAATATTTTTGGTTGCCAGCTTATGTTTATACTTGGTGGGCTTTTGGCACAAGTAGTTCTGAACTCTTTTATTAAGTGCATTTTTCCTGTAAATTCCCTGTAGCAAGTTATATTTTAGTTGATGGTGCAGCTAACTTGTCTCTAAGGCAACTAGGCACACTTTTAACTTCCAAGAAGAAAAATCATAAGACATGCATGTGAATATGCGAGAAGAATAGACATCTGTAAGGAATTCAAATACTACCCACAAGCTATTCATTCCTCTCCTACCGTCTTGTTCTCCTTGCCTGTACATAGGAGACAGTCTCGTATATTCATCTGTGTTAGATCAACTAGTAATATAAGTGAAAACTCAAATTTTATTAAACGAAGACATCAACAAGATCCTGGTTCTGAAAAGGAAAATGCTTAGAAAAAAAATCATGTAGTGTCATTTTAAGGCCTCTAGATGGAACAGTTTGTTATTATAAGGAAATGTATGACAGAATTTTACTTCTATATTTTACTTGTAGTTTTCCTTTTCTTTGCTTCAATCTTACATGTGAAAAGAAAATAAGGCCCACGTCATTTATAATAGGTATTTACTTCAGGCAACTTCCTCTGACAACAGAAATTCTAAGAGTTTTTTTATTTATGTCATCCTCAAAAAGCTTTCCTCTCATCTCAAATGGTGGTAAATTGGGGGTTGGTGAAATTATAGGTGGATTGGTCTTGATGGAATTTTTGTGCAGAAGGAAAATACGCATGTTATTGCATGTCTGTTAAATTTATCTGGGAGATTCATATACTTAAATTCTTATAGAAAATGAGAAAATCATATTAATAACTAAAAGTAATGAACAGAAAATATTATATTGAATAATTACTGGACAAACATAGTAGTCTTTGAGTGTAAATTTCTGCAATGTGGTAATTGTATTGCAGTGCAGAACAGACTTATCGTCTTTCTACTCCAGAAGATGACCCTTAAAATTGTGAAGAACTGAAGAATTTTTAGGGCAGAAAAGTTCGTTTATATTCATTTTTATTCAAATATTTTCAGTAGTATACCAGAATGGTATACAGTTTGTCTTTGTTTTTCTTGGATTGTTAGGTTGAAATTCAAAGACCAGACACATCTTTCAACAAAAAGAGGCTCACAAAAAATTTTTACACTTCATGGTTAATTTATCTTTACTGAATACAACTGAAGAAAAATTGGGGCTTTAGCTGTTCTTAAAATATGCCACTGTAACATACTACCATTAAGTATTTGCCAAGTTTCTGAGCTGTCAAGCAGTCTTTGTACTCGCAGCTCCATGGGGAAAAAAAAAATTGATTCCATGCCATATGAAGACATATAAATAGGAAGGCCTGTTTCCTTGGAGGATATGATTTTATTTTATCTGAAGAGAATATTTCATCCTCACAATATCACAGATTGCTCTAAATGTTATCTTGCACTTCATGTCTGTTTGTATTTGTCTTGTGTCTTTTTGTTGGTGATTATGTTCCTGAGAGGTTATTGTGTGTGTATATATCTCATTTATTCAAGATAAAAAATACTGCTAGTTTTAATTCTGACTGTAATTTTTTTCTGCCTTTACTTTGGTTTACTTTGGCTTATTCATTTCTCTCCTTTACTTGTTGCCTTGTCACAAGTCAGATGTTTCTGTAATCAGTATAAAAATGTGCTAGTGTATGATATGGATAAGGTCTTGTTCAACTCTTTTATACCAACACATAGTCTAAAGATACAATAATTTAAATGAAGATTTACAAGTGAATGTAGCTGTGGCTTTTTCTTGTCCATTCACCCTCCATGCCCCTCAAAAACTTCTGCTTTGCATAATCCAACAAAATATGTTGTCTCTTGATTTCTAAGTTACAGATCGTCAGCTTCTGAGCCTTCTTTAACCTTAGTATTCACTTCAGTCAATTCCTTACTCTAAGCCCTTAATTTGATTAGAATCTTGATAGAAATGAAATATATGTTTTTATATACTTAATACTATTAATGTCTCTGATACTATTTTTTGAAAAAGTACTGCTATATTTTATAGCAGCATAGATGCCCTTATTTTCTTAAAATAACAAGTGAATTCCAGTCTTCCCCTCCCCCACCAATTTAATTTATTTATTTAAGAAACAGAAATCTTTGGAAGTGCATTCCCTTGTATTTTAACATATTAGTCCAAATAGATTTTGGAGACTCTCATATTCCGTACAGATAGACTGTGATTGTTAATTGATCACTTCTACATTGAACACTTTAAAATCTGAATTCTTTGAACTATTATAGAATAATATAAAGTTTGTGTAGTAAGACCATCCAGGTTCAACATTTTCCCTCCCCCCCCAACCCCCAAGACAGATGCCTCCTACTAGATCAGGTTGCACAAAGCCCCATTTAGCTTGGTTTTAAGCACTTCCAGAGATGGGGTTCTCATTTTGCATTCCTGTTGTTAAGAATATTCTGGTTTGTCTGATGTTTGCATAAGTTTTCCAATGTATTAAAAAAAGAGGAAAAAAAAGTGCTGGTGGAATAATCATCCCGAATGACTTTTATGAAAAATTAATCATGACGTGTGGTCATGAAAAATTAAAAAAAAAATGAACAAGCAGTGCAAATAAAGATATTAGTAAGGTAGAACAGATTGTGATAAATGTAATTATGGTCAGGTCTGCAGTTTTGCTCTTACATACTTGGACTATCCTTGGGTTTTATTAGTTTAATATTTAGTAAATGATGTGTTCATTCTTGAGAAAGCTGTAGAACTTCAGCTTTGAATTTTTGTGATGAAGTAAATTACAGTAGACAGAGGAAATGGAATCTTTGATTCCTTTGTAGGTTATCCCTGGAGAAATTTGTTCAGAGGCATTGAAGATAAGTGCAGAAGTGATGCAGTAAACTGAAAGAAGACTGCATTGCTTCCCATGGGAAATGTCATCTTTGTTGGGCTACTCAATCAGGTTGTCTCATGTGAGTTAAATATTTGAAACCTTTTATCATAGGGAACCATTTACCACTGAGGGAAAGCAGACTCTTACAGTCATTACAGCCCACTCATAGCTTATCAGTTAGGAAGGGTTGTTAATTCCTGGACCAGTTGATCGTGCTAAGATTGTAGAAAGATAGGTAGCTGCTACAACTGCCTTTTTTTTTTTTTTTTTTTTTTTTTTTTTTTTTTTTTTGCCTTTTTCTATGGCTGAAATCGTAGCTGAGAAACCTGACTATCTTTATCTTCAGCATTGAGTTTAAATAACATACAGAAAAGTCGTATCTAAAGAACAGAAGAAGAAACAATTATTTCTGAGAAGCATTTATGTTCATCAGTAAGTTCACCGTATGAGACAGGAATGCAGTGAAAAGAAAATTGTGTGTAATTATGCAAACTCTGCTTTTGCAGTGACAAGGATGAGCTTACACAATTTGAAACTGGAATTTACAAGCTGGATTTCAATTGTTACAACTTGTAAATTGTTAAATATATTTAATTATATTTAAATCTACAAATATGTTGTGGAATACTTCATAAGATTGCAGTTTCCCAGTCCTCCTGGTCATTCTTTCTCATGGAAAACAAATAAAAAATACATACCAATGCATCCATTTCAGATCTCTAAGTAGCTGAATGATACAACTGAACTGTGACTTCACAAGTAAAAACTCGGTCCTGTTTAATTCATTCTTTCTTCTTCCTCTTAAATTTTAGTTCTGTTCTTCCTTATTGATAAGTAAGTAAATAAATAACCTAACTTACCTGTTGAAATTAACCACTGTCCCTTCTTGTATAAGCATTGCTATCAGAGAAAGAGATATAAAAGGGAGCATATCAGGTATCATTATCAAATTATGCCTAAGATTAGCTGGGATAAACACAAAAAAAGCCCCAACATATACTTTATTGCTCAAATACTGGGTTTATTCCATAGTTTCTCAGCGTGATCAAGGTAAATATAAAGTAGGTGTTAATCTACTTTATGAAAAATTTGGGAATGAGAAAAGCCCAAATTTAGGGGTTATGAGGGCAGCTGGTCATACTGCTGTGTTCCTACACAGTTCCTCCTTCAAAGAGTGTAAAGGAAATTATGTTTACTGACTTAAAAGAGATTTGGAGGAGAAAAAGTTCTATTGGCTCTTTTCATTATGTAACAGGGTAAGTCCTCAATTAGCAGCTGAGCCCACAATAGTGTAGCAATATGCAACACTTCCTCTGATGACATTCTTATGGAGTCAAAACCCATGAAAATAATGAAATTCCAACTGTAATTGTACAATACAAATCAAAAGAATTGTGGAAAAAAAGAAAAAAGAAATCCAGAAAATCTGGATTTCAATTTCTAAGGTGAAACACAAGTAAAAGTATTCTTGAAGGAGCTGTACCAGAACACGCTAGGTGGTGCTGTAATCCTAATAGCAATTGTTGAATATGCATTTGTTGTGCTTTCCTACTGTCAAGATAGAACTTGTTGCAGATAGCTTTTCATGGTTTCACAAATACTTCTGAAATTTTACTGAATACTGAAATACTTTGTGAGCATTTTGAGATGCTGTTACTGATCTTTTATTTGTTAGGAAGAGCATCGCATGCTTTCATTTGTCAAATTTTAATTTTTTGGTCAATGAAATCATGGCCAATAGATTTTGATCCTCTTTGTACTTAGGATCCAGATTTTGGACATGAGTTTGTCTTCTGTGTTGCATTATGGGTGTATATATTTTAATAATTGGTACTAATATCATGACATTCTTCTATGTAGCATGGACTATCTTTTACCCTGCAATAAAATGTGAAGCAGAGAACAGGGGCAGGGATTAGCAGTGGTAATCTTAAAAACTATACTAGAGGCCCCAGTCCTACGAAGTGTTCCCATGGTCACAACAGAAGTGCAATCCTGGAAGCTGGGCAAGACCACTGTTGGGGACTGCAAAGAGAATAACAGAGAGCTACCTGAAATGTACTATATACAATAAATTGGTAGTGACGTGGAATTATAAACCAGTGATGAGAGCTGTGTTAGAAAATACATCAAAAATGTACAAAGATCTTAGAAAGGTGAAAGAGAGCTTCACTGTTACACTTCTCCTGAAGGAGATAACAATCAGCAAAGTGATTGTCAGCATAGGCCATAATGCAACAGTAAGATCTCCAAAACGTTAACAACTCTATGTTATACTAACCCCTCTCGGGGATCATTGCACAAGGAGGGGAAAGGAAACAAAACATTTGAAGGAGTAGGATGTGTAGGACTTTATATATACCGTATAGGTTTCAAGATGCAATGTTTAATAATTCTTTCATAGCGCTTTCTTGCTGCTCTTTAAGTATATCCACTTTAAGGCAATATTAGTATTGTACCACCATCATACCTTAAGACAATTTCTTGACAAGTAAAAATAAGAGAGTATAATCTTCAAAGCAAAGGTCGTTGCAGAGGTAAATGAAATTATCTTGGAAACATTACATGTATTTTTTTTGTATGCATCGATTACAGAGTAGTATGCATTCACAGTGTTCTTGTTAAGCTAGTAACAGCTGAAAATACTCCTCGGGACATGAATGGGAAATGGTGTGGGGAGATGTGAGAGCATTCCAGTCAAACGTTTAAATCAACATTTGTTACAGAGTTTGAATCTATACCCTTGAAGCAAATCAAAACTACTAGATTTTTTATTAGTTTTACACTAATTAGATACTATTTTACTACAACAAATTTTTAGATTGTTTAAATATTGTTTTTCTCTTATCCAATGTCCCATATTAAACTGTAATTACAAGCCGATATCCACTGACAAGTAAGGTTTCATCATATGTTTACTGACACGTCAGAAAGAATTCTCTTTGCTTTATATAGACATATATTGCAGAAATTAACAATAAATTAAGTCTAACAGTGTTGAACAATGAATAGAATCCTTTTAAAAGCATGCTATCAGCACTGACTGTATTTGAACTTTAAGTTAGCTTTGATACAAAAAGTGCAAATATCAGGAAATCTTTTTTCCAGCTTCTTGAGATTTTTTTTTCCAGTCCTCTATAAAATTGCTCTCTATGGACAACTTTTGTAACTGCATGGTGTGATGACTCTGCTGCTTTACACCCCACTCTTGGTGTGCCAGAGCCACTGCCATGCTGAAGGCAATGGCAGAAGCAGCTCCTCACTGGCAGGAGTTCAGTTGTGCTGCACAGGGGATTCCTTTTCTTTAGTTAGGCACGTAACCTCACCAGATCTGCCCACCTGCAGAGAACAAACTGTGATACATATGCTTTTTTTTTTTATAGTGGCTCAGACCAACAGGCATCAAGAGCTGTAATCAATTGAGTAAATCTCTAGAGCAATATATTTTAGATATGGGAATTGTTTACAATCTGTGAGATTTATTTTTCTGTTATCTTTTTAAGTGGAATTTATTTAGGGTTTCATAATTACAAAAGAAAAAAAAGATTTTTTGCTGTATCAGTATCATGAATGGAAGCACCTTGCTTTTCACAGTTAGACTTCTGAACAAAATACTATGCAGTTCTCAGTAGTACTTAGTAACTATGACGACCAATTTTTTTTAATTTTTTTTTTTTTTTTTAACTCACATCTTTAGGCTACCTTCAGTTGATGAGGAAAATTAGATAACTTGTAGTAATTTGGATGAGCTGTAATGTTACATCTTCTAATATGACATGTCAGGGTAAGAAAATGCCGTTTCCCTCGAGGAAGTTGAAACAATGAACACTTATTTTGAGATGAGAAAGATGCTATCAGTTTTAGACAAAAGACCATGATATCTTATACTTATTGTGTAATCGTAAAATTATAATTAAAGCTGGAAAAGAATCTTGTAGACAATAACTTACCACTGGTATACTGCTAGTAGCTTAATGAAGTACCATTCCAAAGAATCTTTGTAAGTGATTTTGAAAAGTTCATATTGCATCCTTCCTTGTTCCATAACTGTTCAATGAAAAGAGTGATCTGTGCTACAAACTTTTCAGTTTGTTATTCTCTGTGTATTTTCCCCCTGGACTGATGTAAGATGAAAGTTCTCTCTGTTTGTTTACAGTAAAATTTGTTGCTGGTAATTTCAATATCTAAAGACAGAGCATTAGGCTAGTTAGAATTTTTCACTTACGTTTGTAGGCTTGTTTGTTTTCAAAATAAATACAGGAAGTTGCTGTAATCAAATATCACTTCAATTCAGAGATTAATTCTGTCGAGTCCCTCAAAATTCTCCCCTTCCAGTGCATCTCTCTTTGATATTTCTCATATTAATAATATCCTACTGTAAAGGTTTAGCTGTTAACGCTGGTGAGGTTTGGGAATATCTAATGTTTACACGAATTTGACAAAAATTACTAAACTCTTCCTGCCAAAGATGACGTTCAGTAGTTGCCAATCCACAGTAAAAACTGCTAAATGTGCTCCTTGATTAGTTCCTTGGCATATGAGGAGAACATCCTGCCAACTATGCAAGCATGAAAACCTAGAGAAAGTAGGTGTAGCCTGATTTCTACCTCTCCCGTTGGCCCACCATTATGTTTACTGCACCCAACTACTGGTAATAAGAACAAAGATTACTTCTGTGGTTTTCAGATATAAAATGTTTTGTAAACATTCAGGTATGTTTGTATTAGCTGTAGCATTCTTCTAATGTTGTTTTATTACAGTAAGCATGACCTTAGTATTTCATAAATTAAAAAAATCAGTCATTAGCTTGACCAGTAATAATCCAGATATACAGTTTTCTTTCTGTTTAAGAGTAGTCAAAAATGACCTAATCTATGATTTTTTTCTTTGTCATATCACATCCTTTGAATTTACAATTGATGTAAGATAACGCTAAGATGAATTATAGGTTGAACTCTGAGAAATAAATCTGTAGTTCCATAGAAATCTTTTAAATTTAGGTTTGTGAAATTGTTTTCAGAATTCATGCCAAAACAAAATTCCTAACATTTTTGCATGTTAATCACAGATATCAAGGTG